GTGATGTGCTCTAGGCGTTCCTGCTTTAGCAGGGGAGTTGGACCAGATGATCTCTAGAGGTCCCTTCCAACTCTGACAATTCCATGATTCTGTGATTCCATGATTCATAGACCTATTCCTTGGAACTGCTCTTCCCTAAAGAGACTAATTGATCACTCCAAATTGTTGTCAACAAGACCAGCTGCTTCAGTGATTTTCTAGTATATTTCAGATGTCAAAAAAATTGTGAGGTTATTGAATACTAATTCCTACCTGGAACCAAGTCTTTCTTATGAAGTGGATTAAATGATAAGGCCAGATTCAAAGGCTGAATACAGAAGAATTTGTGTAAGTTGGGCCCGTCCATAAGAAATGTTAGTAAAGCAGACGTGTTCTTTCCCCAACCAACAGAGGCGTGAACCTCTGTTCAGCTCAGTCTAGCTACACCTCTTCTACAGCTGGATAGTATAAAAAAGCTCTTATAAAAAAAAACCCAACAGTGCTTCCCTTGGCAATACACATTAAGCTCTTATTAAAAAAAACCCCAACAGTGCTTCCCTTGGCAATACACATTCATTACAGTGCTTGCACAGAACTTTGACTCTGTGTCCTTCCACTCTTTACTTGCTCTCCAAGGAGTTAGGATTAGTGTTAACGTGACATCTCAGCTAGCTCTGCTGCTAGTCCCTTACTACAGGTCCTACGCTGCAGCTGAGATGAGACTGCATGTCTTATTAAGCGCTGGCCTTGTGATGCATGCTAGGAGAACCATAACTTTTGCATTTATGAAACAAAGAACAATATCATTATCTTGTTTTGGAGTTCTCTCATAACAAGATTTTGCTGTACAAAATTCTAACTGTTATTTTCTCCCTCCATCACTCTTCCAAAACCCTATCTAACAGGCCACTAAAGTGATTTGTATAAAGACTTGTCAACAGCTGTTCCCTTGCTTCAGGGCTGTGGAGTGTAATAACTTCCTGTAAAAGAAAAGCAAATTAATCATGATTATTTTTCAATGCATCCTCACTCCTCATACAAGCCATCATTATTTATCATGTGGTCCCTACAATCACCAATGGTGACAAATGCAAAGGCGATTAAGTCAACACCTAATTTTGAGGACTGTTTACCTCTCCAGCTCAAGGGAAAATTAACCAGCTGTAAACAGAGGGTTTTTTTCATTTTATACATAGAACAGGTAGTTCCAGCTGAATTACAATGAAGCATCAGAGAGGACACCGGGTGAGACACAAGCCTGGATCATTTGTTCCCCCTAACGATCTTCTAACATTTGCCTATACAGTAATACAAGGTCACAGGAGAACATTTTTGCATACCCAGTGCTGAACCAAGAGTGCAGGAACTACTAGTGGTTTTCATCACAGTCTTAAATACTCAGAGTCTGCCTGTTCAAGTTGTTATAAACTATTCTGTCCGTGGTCAAGTTATGTGACCTCTGTACAATGGCTAGCTGCTTTTTTCCCCCAGCAGAATGCCTCTGTTATCTTCAACATTCTTAAGGGTATTTCCTGATTAGAAATCTAACATCGCCAGTTGTGGTTTCCTGATAATCTCAGCATGGTCCAGGGTCACTGAACAGATCACACATACATTTTATATAGTCAAAGCTTACTAGCAAATTCTGTCTCTAATGCTTTTTACAGCACCTTTTATTAATATCCAGTTAACTATGGCAATGCTGATGGTGATATATTCAAGTTACAGAGCGCAGAGGCAGCCACGAGTGTGTAGTGTGTCCACACGTGTAAGGGCTCTTCAGGATCTCCCTTGAAGAGATGTGGGAGTGCAAGGGAGAGAGTTAGTCTCCTAGGTCTGTCTCTCTACTGCCCACTCCCTGAAAACAGGGATGCTAGAGAGGAAACTGAAGCCACCCCTTGCCTGATGGACTTGCCATGTTCCACCACTACATCACAAGTCACCAGCAGCAGCTCCATCTCTAGCTCAGCCACATCCACAAATTCCAGTCTCTGTTGTGTGACCAGAGGCCCCTTTCTTCTCCATCAGAGACAGTCTTGCATTGATCTAACAGCAACCAGCTTGTATGCAGATGTCTCTCATGTGGGGTGGCTGACCATGGGGCAGTGTGCTGTGCCACAGACAACTGCCTTTTCTCTGCTGCAGCAGAGATCTGAACTGCTTGTGGGCCAGCTCCTGAACAGCTGTAATTTGCAGCCCAGATTTTTATGTTTTATAACCAAGATCTGTTACAGTTTTTAGGTCTTTAAAAGGCAAGACAGGTTCAATACAGCCACTACATCCAACTGCAAGACATCTGATGAGAGACAAGGACACAATCAGCTCACTAATCCTTTTCTCAGACTTCTGCTTCCAGTTTGATTGTTTCTTCCAGTCAGGTGGAAACAAGATGAAACTTCGGAAGACTCAAGTGGTGTTGAAGAGAGAAGGAGGGCAGGAGCACTGCTCAGAGAAGATACAATGGGAAGTGCCCTGGAATGGGGAGATGAAGAGGAGGACCTTTGCTCAACTTCCTATCTGTTTTCTGTGAGCTTCAGGAACCTTCCTCAAGATTTACCTCTGTTGGACTAGTATCCTTAACAGGGAAAATGAAGTGAAGCCCAGCTTCCTGGCGATAAATAACGGAAAAGGATCTGGATTAAGGTATTAGTCAACACATAGTTGTGTTTCCTTCCTTAAAGCCAGGAAGTCCAAAGTCTATTTTTTCCTACTACTCTAGTCTTGTGATTTTAAGAATCTTGCCACCTTTGGAAATTCTGGGAGGTTATCTTTTAATTCCATGTGGCAGATTCCAAATTTTATTATAAAATTTACTATTAAAATGGAAGGTTTCTTTTTGTTAGCTAGTGTTTATTGATTATAACTTCTGATTCTCCCCTGTTCGTTCAACTCTGACACAGCTGTGTCTTTCGGTCAACATCCACTTTCTAGTAGCTAATGAACTTTTAATTATTATGTTCAGATTTTATCAAGAGTGGTTGTAACATCACTATTTTCAGGAAAAAAACAACAGCGTAAACATTTCAACAAATATTTATACACTAAAACCAAACACTTCAAAATCAAACCCAAATTCATCTCAGCCATCCTCAGCACTATGAAATATTAATTACTTGCTGGCCATTATTCTAATTTTCATTTGGACAATGCATCTCTGCCACGTGTGTCTTGGTGCTTTTCTTCAGCCTAGAAGGCCTCTTAAGGTTATATAACTCTACAGTAGAGCCATGGATGGGAGGGATGCAAGTAGCCATGCAAACAGAACACTCAGTGGTGCATTGGTCCTGTAACAGAGCTACAGAGAAAACAAGAATATTTGCAGATCTTTCACTTATACCTCTCTCTTTTCACTATTGTGGAGTTATGAATTAGAATGGTATGAATCTGGAGGGGTTCTGTTTGAAAAAAGCTTTACTGAAGTCAGAAGAAAACACAGAGATTCAGGTTTTAAAAGAGGAAACTTCTAGAAGAAGAGATATTCCTCTCAACAAAGACCAAGATAAGATGTCCTGTATCTGCAAATAAATAGGAGCGGGAAATAACCTACCAGAAGTAAACCTGTTCTTAGTGAAAAACCTCCTCTAGGTAATCTTGTAAAGTCAGATCAGGTTTTCTTTAGTAAGGCATAAAAAGCCTTTTTCAAAGTCAATAGCATCTCACTAAATAGGACCTACTAGGAGCCTTCATTGATACCTACTGGCAGTTGGCAATACAATGTAAGATGAAGGAATTCATAGTAACCATGGGAACTTTTAAACCCATTCAGAAATGCCAAGGTATGCTTGTAGTACAGTTAGAGGAGAAAACCTCTAAATGAATTATCCCTACTAACCACTGCAGTCCAAGCCCATCACGGGATCTTTGGGGGAAAAAGAATAATCCAAAAAAACCCAGTCAATCTTTGGGTTTTACATGTTCATTTCATTCTAAGAGACCAACCCCTTTGGATCCTTTGGAAGACCTAGATGCATCATGCCTGTGACATTACTCAGATGACGAGGAAAAAGTCTCCTGTCTTAAGAATCTTTATGGAATGCTTAAGTGAGTAAGAACAGATGTTATTTTAAAAAGGCAAGCAAGCAACTTCAGGGTGTGGTACATGTAAACAAGGGAGGAAAATTACAATTATGAACAAAAAGGAGGTGGGTATGAATCACTGAAAGTTATGTGATGGACATGCAGATGGCATAAGCAAGAATTTGAAGCTTCCAGAAGAGGGAAGCAAAGAATAATTATCAACATTTTAAGATTTCAAAATAACATTTCTCTCTCCTGTACTGTTTTTGAAGCAATCAAACCACATCAAGAAGAAGTGGAGTGACCCTCTCCTTAGAAAGTCATTATTGCAGTTGAGATCAGCTGTGGCTTCTTCCTAAAACATTTGGTAATTTTCATCCCTGAGCTGAGTAAAGCCTGGGGAAATCCCTGGTTATGAAATCCATTATTTTCAGTCTGGGTAGTTAATTTATAACCACTGTTCTGCTCAAGGGCTGGCTGTTAATCCTACTGCATGCAACTTTGCGTGGAGTCTAGAGTAGATGTGACACACTGTTTGAATAATTTAAAAATCTCTGTATCTATTTTTTGTCCTAAACTTCAGCTTCTGGAATCATGTGATTAAGGGAGAATCTCTAGGTTTGTTCTTAATTACAATTCTTTACTGTCATGGTTTCAGAGAAACTGCTGAGAACAAGAGCCATGAATGCGAAGAACAGAATACAGTAAGACAAAACACACTTAGAAAGATCTTATGATCCTAAGCCACTACCATAGGTTCTTTTGGTAATCCAACACTTATTTGATGATCAGAATGAGGCTTGTCCCGAGCAGCCTGCTCTGGCTGACCTTGCTTCAGCAGGGGGGTTGGACTAGCTGATTTCATGAGATGCCTTCCAACCTCAACAATTCTGTGATTTTGTGTTTACAATGGCAGACACTTCATTATAATTTTAAAGGGTTCATCTTATAAACAGTAAAGAGACCTGTTCTTTTCTGTTGCTATGTGCTGATCATTTCCCAAACACCTCCTCCTGTGTGTGAGTGTGTGCACGCACACTCACTCACATATACACACACAAAAGGTCCTTGCTCTTCTCTAGTCTATACAAATAATGACTTGGGTATAATAAAAAGCACAACTGGAATTTCTTTTAAATGCCTGTGTCAGAATGATAATGTGAGCCAATGTGAAGATGGCATTTCATTAATTGCGTTGTCAATGACAAATGTGAAAAGTATGAACGTGCCAGTTTCATAATTCTCTCAAAAGCAGTTTGTTATGCACCTTTGATAAGTTACATTTCCACCAAGGAGGTAGTGAGATCTGAGAAATAAGCCCACCATCTCCCACTTGCATAGTGATCATGCATTTCTATGGATCTGAGGGAGGCACAGTATTCAGGAGACTCTTAGGACACTGGTATAGACTTTAACTCACCACTTTCCCAAGCAGCCATGTGTCAACATGTCTTAAGTAGATCACCAATAGAGCCTGAGCACTGTGAACCTGAAACACAGTAAGAAATCAGTTGATTCAACTGCACTATGTGCTCTGTGGAAAAGATAAATCATATGGTACAACTTGCATTTAAAGTAAGGAATCATACCTTGCCATTTTTCAAAATATCTCCTTCATGGTGTCTATTTGAAGCCACTGGCTTCAGAGCTCTAATGAAAATGTAAACAGTGGTCTGCCCTGTGCTGCTAACCTTAGGACAATTGTTTCCAGGATTTTCTGCCTGTTCAGAGCACTGTAGGACTAAGAAGAGTAGCCCACTTGCCTTTTATTGGTCAGATTGCCCATATTTTACCAGGAAGACAGATATATATTTTTTTTAAAGATAATATAGTGAATAATTGTTTTGAATGCAAATACATCTATGAAGCACACTTGAGACTGTAATGTGCTGAAGGACAACAGTAGAAAGGAAATCTTATTCATATCCACTTTTTTTCTTTAAAAAGTTTTTACAAAATGTTCAATATACTGATTGCCCATCAAAGAAATCCTGCAGGAGAGAGAACACTAGGTCCAATTACAAAAAACTTGGAATTCAGATTCCAATGGTATCATACTAAATGCCAAATGCTAAGACAATATTTTAAGAGAATGTACTACATTAACTGAAGTTGTTTCCACCCTCTTTTTATAGAAATCCTAGGCTATCTCAAAATTTGTCTGGTAGGTATGTGCTTTCTATTTGTAAAATAGCTGAGTGTAATAGAGAGGTTAATGATGAATTGCTCTGCCAGACCCACAAGCCTCAGGAATGAATGGCTTGCAGGGAGGGGTGAACAGTAGTCAAGAAGCTGTAAGGAACATTTTGCACTTGCTGATCATCTTTAATGAATGTCTTTTACCCCTTCTCCCATTCAAAACCAAGGGCACTATTTCAAATTCTCGAGTTCCACTAAATAGCACACAGAAGGAAAGGAAAAAACCTGAGACCAAAAGTCAGCATCCTTCATCATTTTCCCTGGCAGTTCTCTTTATCTGAAAAGCTACTCAAACTGTTTAACACAGCTGCTTGCTGTGGAAATAATACTTAGAGTGGAAATATTACTTATTTCTTTGCTATGTAAACTTAAATGCTCATTGAAATTACCCATAAAGAAAATTTGTCTATGGCTAAAGGAAACAGTCTTTAATTTATGGACTGGGTATTTGCAAATGAACGTATATCTGAGACATCAAGACTAACATTTCCCTGATGTATGACGCTGTGCATTGCAGTGCTTCAATATCAGAAGTATACAAAACCCACTTAGTGGGTACCTCAGCAGCAAGTCTGTGGTTGCAAATGCTACATTTGTCGATCCTTCCAATCAACTTTTCATATTTAGCATCTGGAACTGCATCAGCTTCATCTGGCTCTTCCAGCAGCGACCCAGCAATGTGAATGCAGTAGTCTTCTTGAAAACCATCATCTGTCAAATGGTAAGTTGTTTTACTTGACACATCCAATATATCCGTATGGAAAGTCTCACACAATGACATCTACCTAATTTGACGCTCATCTAGAGAGAGTGTTCACTAAAAAATAGTTCTAGCTGCAAAGATAGCTTCGTTGCTCTAAACTGCTTACATTGACTTTGTGTGTCCTTTTTCCTTGGGAAAAAAAAAAAAAAAAAAAAAAAAAAAAAAAAAAAAGAAGTATGATAAATGAACAAGGACCACAACATTAAACAGAGCAACCAATGTTTGTCTCTTGTCCATTCACATTAATCAAGTTTTAACAATGCGTTCATAGTAAATATTTATGGAATGCTTTCTCTTGTGTCCTGGGAACACAATGGAATTCTTAACACACAGCTAAAAGCCAAATGTTTCTCTCAGACATGCTATCATACTATTAAATAGTTCTTCAATGTTTATACCTAGGTATGAAGGGAAATTTTCTTTCTGTTAACCAATCATGTTTCATAATTATTAATAATTATTGATTATTAATAATCACAGCTGGTTCATTTTACAAACATTCATTTTGCCATGCAAATGCAGCTGTGAAATCCCTGTAAGTTAGCTGTTTATATTTCTGGCCTATCAACCATGTGAATACACAGGTTTCTGTTGTAGTAAGGGCCAGCTTCATGAAGAGGCAGAAGAACTACTGCCAAGAGTCCTTCTGCAATTTACCTAGCAACTGCTTCACACAAAACACAGAAACATGCCAAAGAGGAACACCTTCCCTGACTTCCTCTCCAGGCTAAAAGCTCCAAATTTACTGATATATCCCTTCTCTATCCCTTCTGCTTCTTATTTCTATGGCTGTTTTGTGGGAAGTGTCATTATAAAGCCTTGAAATGTGCTTCTCATCCATCCTGCATCCAGGTGGTGAAGACACAGACTGTGAGGAACAGCAGAGACATATCATGCTAGCTTCGTACTCCTGAATGATTGTGGAAGCAGCACTAAAGCAACATACAGAAAAAGATAAAAAGTAAGGGAGTAACTATACTTTATTACTCTGCTTTCTTCCATAACTAGCTAGCAACTGGCATCCACGTTATTTTCTCTAGAATGAATTTCCTGCACAGAAGTTAAAATTAAGGCTAAAAGAGGTGGCTACATTCTAATTGTGAAAACCTCTTTTTCGGGGCAGGAAGGAAACGAAATGATCCCCAGACATCTGTGTGAGTCATAGCACGCTAATGAAAGACAGACGGGCATGCTGATTCGGCACGACTTTTTTAACTTCTCATTTGGTGTAACTATTCTCTTAATTTTTTCCTTAATTAAATTGACATGAGGTGAAAAAAGCGACAAGTCCCAGGATGTTTGACTTAGATTTACCCTGATTTGTACAACTTTAATAGACAAATGTTTCAGGATTTCATAGGTTAGGACCAGATAAAGACAGAGACTTGTAAAACCCCACGTTTAGGAATCCATTTCCTTGAATCACATTTTAAAAACATTATCTTGAGGAGGGGACTAGAGAAGCTTGTAGTCAGTGCTGTTAGTACTGAAAATCTGCTAAAAGCTTGTCTGTCATTCTAGCTTCCAAATATATTTTTTGGCCTGTGTTTCACTAGTCTCATCAATATCACCCCACCAGAAAGCTATGCAGCTGTGGAAGAGCTGGAAGCCCAGCCACAAGGTTTAAATACTATGATTTTCCATGAACTGAAAGAGGATCTGACCTATTCCACCGCAGTGGAAATGGGCTGCTATTGCTTAATCCTGCCTCAAGCACCAAGTTTTTGGCTTGCTATTGCAACCAAGAAGCTGGGCTGTTACTTAATGTCCTATTATCTAAGAGCAGCATTTTTGTATTCTGCGCAGTGTGCTGCATGCTCCTCCCAGAAACACAAAACTAGCTCAGCTCCAGTTTGAGAGAAAAAAGACTGTATCATACAACCGAGAGGCCACTGGGCAACAGATCCCCTGCCTTCAATGGCAGCTCCATGTCTGGACACAGATGTTTATGGTTTTCCTCTAAACTCATTATCTAAGCAAAAAAAGAAAGAAAAAAAAAAAAGAGGAAAACCATGATTTTTCCATGTTATCAGGTGCTCATGAATTGATTTTTTTTTATCTAGAATTGATCTTTTATGTCTGGAAAACACTGCAACTGTGCTGGTCTTCAGCACTCCTAATGGAGAGGCTGCCTGCTGCAGGGCCTGGGCCTTGGACAGTCAAGATGCTTTACAAACCACGGGTGCTGGTGAGCTAGGGCTTTTCCAGATATATAAACACTGCAGCAGGGAAAGAAGGAGTACCTTCACCTGGGCAAGATTTTCCAGGCTAGGCTTATTTATTTGGACTTTGCTGAGCGTACAGTCTTAAATGGACAGTCCGTGAATTTCAATTATCTCATCTTTTTCAGCATCTACAAATAAATAAATCATAACCCAGGAAAAGATTAGCTGCTGTTCTCACTGCTGGTAAATCAGAATCCAGTCAATCACTGTAGTACTAGTTGCTAGTTGAAAGCCTCTCAAAAACTTACACTTATACAAAATGCAAGTCTCATAGATGCATAAAGGATCAAATCTCCTTCCAAGGGAACAATGACATAAACTGTAGTGCTTGGCATTGTGCCATTCAGCAGAAATTTAGTCAGTACCAGCTATTCCCACAGAACATTCGCTCTTGACTGAGGTTTTGAGGTTTTGCTCTCAAGTCTTGCACCAAACCCAGAGCATGCAGAAATCCTGTGAGGAGTCAGGTCCCCCATGCCGTGAGGATAACATGCATACTCCGAAGTTCCTCTATCGCTGAGCGAAGCTCTCTGGAGGCAGGGAAGAAAGTTCAATGGTTGTTCAGGCAGAAAGTTCAGCCCCTTCCACAGATGCAGCTGGGGGCTGTGCACTGCCCAGCGCCCTGCCCCTCACAGCTGCGTCTGGGCTGAGCACGTAGTCACAGGAACATGGAAAATACCCATGACTAACACTTGCCACTCACGCCCTTGGATTACTTCCAGTTTGACTACGACAAGACTGCCTTTTTCTGGTATTTTATCTTGCCATACCCTCACTCACTTCCAGAGGGTGATTTTTCTGACACGGTGATTTTTCTTATTTAGCATCTGAACCTGACAAAAGTCAGCATTTGCTCCCCAGCAGGCAGTTGTAGGGCAGCAATCACCGATGAGCTGGTTATATCGCACAAAAGCTGCTTTGTGTCATGACTAATTTCAGATCCTCCCTATTTCTTATGCAGAGTCCAGCCTTGTTCCCTTATACACAGAGAATTAAATCCCGTGCCTGTATTTCCTTCTGGCTTCCCCACCAGGACAAAACTTTTTGAGAACAAGCAGACAAGCTCAGGAAGCAACACAAAGACATCACCAGCAGTGCTTGCTACCTACCCTGCAGCCCCCGTTGCATCTTGCTGCATGACCATCCCTGGCACTGAAGGGCCACAGGAGCCAATCTTCTTCCCTCCCCTTGCACCCTCAGCCAAGAGACCTCTTTCCCCCCCCACTTTCCCAAGGCAAGGCTCCTGCTAGGACAAACTCTGGCCTGCACTCTCTTGTCAACACTGAATTTTCAGCTTTCTATGTTTTTCTCTATATTCCTGCTCTGGTAGGAGAAGCAGCACCTCTGCCAGGTGTGTGCGTATCTCTACACCTTTGTGTTATCTACAGTGGTCCTGACTAACATCTGCTGAAGGTTATTCCTCTTCACAAGTGCAGCAGGTGGTGTTACAGGCTTTTATCTGGCCTCTGCACCGCTCCAGCCACAAACATGCAAACGTCTGATAATTGTAAGACAAACCTCAGAGGAGGTAAAGTACATTTACTTGCCCGATTTATAGGCTCATTATTCTCTAAGTGAAACTAATGTACACTCAGGTTCCCTCGTTCCCAGGAAGACATAATCATTATGAAACACGATTCAGACATGAATAATTAACCTATTTTATTGTATCCAATTTGGGGCAAAACAAAGCTACGAAGAGGAAATAAACCCCAAACAAATACATAGATCCAACTGAAACAAAGACTTCACTTCTAGATTAATTCTGCTGGGACAGCTGTCTTGGGGCTTCTGCTGCTACGAGTAAATCTGGCACATACCCTTCACTGACAGTGCTGCTTCTTGCTTTGGTTACAGCTCACTTTCATGTGCTTCTTTGAATATTTTATGAAAGTGACATCAGGTGTGTCAAAAGGCAGTCTTTATGGCTGCCTCTGCAATGACAAAGCAACTCTCTTACATACTATTTTCTCCTTATTTGTGTAGATGGACTCCTAACATAATAACCATAATAACCAACATAATAAGCCTTGGATTTTTGAGCATCTGTGACTATGTTTACCTCACAGGAGAGACAGACTCCACAGCATCACCACCGCACATCTTGATTCCCAGTAACCTCGATTATGGGACTTCCTGGAAAATGCTGCAACTCCCTCCCATGCCTAACTTTCCAGGAGAGATGTGTATCTGGGTCTTCTCCTGACTGAAGATGGAGATGGTGGTAAGTGGTACATCTGAAGCCAAAGAGTGGGAATCACGCCCAGGCTCCCCTGGTAGAAACACAGCTTGGCAGACTGTTGACGGCAATTTTTTCATCTGTTTGAGAAGAAACTTCTACAAGTAACACGGGCTTAAGGATTTGCTCCCATTACTTATCAAGAAGCACGTGTTTTCATAACAATTCAGTTATGTTTCTGTTGTGCACATCTCTGTGTATCTCGGCTTTCCCAAACACAGGCAGGAAGACTAACAAGATGTTCTTTTGAGTGGTGACGCTGTAATTTGAACTTGAGAAATGAATACTGCTTTTCCCAGGAACACTGGAAGAAAAGCCCTTACATCCTGTCTATTACATATTAAATAGTAAGGGAGGAAAGTGCTGAATAACTTTGAGGGTTGTTGCCTCTGCCACTGCCACCTTTAACTGACTGGTTTCAGTCCTGTTGCCGTTGCTCTCCATTTCCTCAGCTTGTAGCTCCATAACACAGCTCCTCTGGCAGTGGTCACTCTGGCTCCCCATTTCTCGAGCAAACAAAAACTTGCCTTGGCTTTGCAGGTGAGCTATCAGCATTCCTTCTCAATCCAACATGAGGGCTGGCTTCCTTCCCCAGTCCCTCAAGGACCAAGTGCCATGCCCAAATCTATTTCAGAGCCTTCTTCCAGCGTGTTCTTCAATTCAAATAAAAGCCAGCACTGAATTTTTCTTCGTGATCTTCCTCACGACAGGAGAGGCCAACTTCACTCAGCCAACAGCAGGAACCTTTCCTCAGCCCTATCCTCCTCTGAGATATATTTAAGCAACCAGCCAGCTGCTTTGAACAACTGCATGTTAAAAGCAAAGCAAGTACTTTAAATTCTATGTTAAGCCTATAGAAGTAATTAGAGAAGTACAATCAACATAAAAAGCCACAATGAAGATGACTGTTTGCATATGTGCTAGAGAAAGCAAAATCAAAATCATAGCTATTCTAGCACAGAATTTATAAGAGAGATACAGAAACAAACCAAACAAGCAGTACGAGACTGGCCTTAGAGCTAAAAATCGGAACTTTTTTTTTCTTTAAACCAAACATTTTATAACCAACTCTTATTTGGGACTAGCTTTGTTAGATTCACAACAATTTAAGAACAAAGGTGCAATGGCCTGAGGCTGGAACAGCCTGATTTTTCTTCAACAGTTTCTTTTTCATACTGCATTTAGTCAAAAGATTGCAAGTCCACTGCAAAAAAATAAATAAATAAATTTCAGCTTCAGTTGTTCACAGCACAAACTATGCTGACCTTTTCCAGACAATTACATAAAACAGCAATGATAAGCAGTAGGGATCCCTATTAAAATACAACCCACGGCTTTTGTATGTGTGCATGCCTTCTTTTTGGCCCACAGTTACTGGCCACGCCAAAAATGATTTTATGAAGAAAAACAACAGATATGATAAATTCCAACAGAAATCAGCCTCCAAATATGAACAGCAAGGATAGCCACAGCTGAATCCAGCATTTGCTTAATTCACCAGGGATGATCTGAGACATCTTTTATCCTTTATACACAACTCAAACTAGGCATGCTAGTAAAACCCCATTAATCTGTTTCATGAGTCATAGGCTTCTTTGTTCTCTGCACTTTGCTGACGGTTTCCTTTATCTGAGGGTGGAGAATGTGCTTTGTATAAAGTTTCAACTTGTGTGTAAGTTCTCTTTGGCACACTGCATGTGCCCAACACAAGAGACTGTTTTTTTCTTTACCACATATTGCTACAGCTGAAATCAGCTGAAAATCTCGAGCAGGAAATCCCTTAACGTGAACTACAGAGTTGCAGTTGGGTAGTGTCTACAGACAGCCTGGATTACAGCTTCCCAGAGATCTTATTGCCCACGTACTGTGCCCACTGTAGATCCTGTTCCTCTTTTTTCAGTCTTTGCAAATAAATGGAAATAACTGAGCAGGCCTTGGTTGTTTGGTTTCCAACATACAGGCCAGACAGTTGTATTTTAACAAAACAAGTAACTAAATCTAGCATCCAATGTTTGCTTGTTGGATCAGCAGTACAGCGAGCACATTGGAGAAATATGTTATGATGGGATTTTGTTAGCAGAAAGCACCTTTCTATGGAAAAGGGATGACAACCCCTTCTACAGAGTTTGAAGGAGGTAAGATTTCATTTCACCACTACTCCTCTTGACTTCACCAAGAGCAGGCATTCCTGAGACATTCCCCAAAGAGTGTATGAGGAAATTACTGACTTTTTTTCTTGAAAACAGACTTGAAGACATAATCAGTAATGCATGCATGGCCTCAAAAAAATGCATCTGCCTCTCCTTGCCAAAAAAAAAAAGTCCTACTTCAGCTTCTGAAAGAACATACTTGTGACAATGTAGAGTTAATGATTTTCTTCCACTCTTCCATTGTATACTAAGGAATGTTTCTGAGCTCTTAAATAGCTCCGCCCAAAATTAATGCTGCCGAGTAAATCAAGGGTCTACAAGCCCGATGCCTGAGAATTTGATCAAGTGATCAAGTGTTGATTTTCAGCTTCCCATGGTGGGAAGGATTTAAAGTTAAACTTTTAGTTTTCTGATCTTAAGTGGCACTAGCTCAATCACTGACTTTATACATATATAGCTCAAGTTAGTTGTGTGCATAAGTTTCACTTTTTATACTTGTATGTATGATACTGCAAGTCATGCGACTATCTTCAAGAGTTGTATAAAAAGTTAAAGGAAGTTATATAAATTATTATTTGTAAATAAAGATGAAGAGGCATGTGCAAGAACAGCAAAAACATGACATTCAGCTGTTGCCAAGCGAGGACAATAAAACAGTAGAACTGGTGTGCTGAGCTGATGTTTTCTTTAAATCCCATTGTGCCGCATTTAAAAAGTTCCCTGCAAAAGCACTGGGCCAGAACAGAACTTGTCAGGTCTGATGCATGTTTGTCCAGTGCTTCACCCTCCTCATGCATCCTCTCCTGCCCAGCATTACTTCTGAAGCAGAAAATTCATTACCAGAAGACAAATAGATAAGCAAAGCTTGATTTTCCTTCTCATTAGCCAGCTTTAGGATGTGAACTCTAAGGCTGGTGAGTAGAGTTAATGCAGCAGAGAAAAAATGTTGTGGATCTGAAGGTGGTTCAAAACATTTTCAGCTGTGCTTAAGACAGTAAGGAAGAATTTCTTCTACCTGCTTTTTCTCAGCGCTGTCTTCAGCAGCAAAGGAGAGGAAGAAAAAGAGGGGTAGGAAGCTATTGTAGAGAGTGGCTACTAGAGGATGGAAGAAACTTGCTGTCTCTTTTGTACAAAGTTAAACCTCTGGTGGTTGTTGTTGCTATATCAGAGAAACAACACGTCAACATCTGGTTTTTCTGGTGATGTCAATTTTGTGCCGCCCAATCCCCCCAGCACCAGAATGTAACAAGACACAGCTGACACTCAGAGTGCTGCACGCTCCTGATAACTGCACAACCTCAGCAGAGATGTTGCAATAAAGTTTTGGTCAGTTTTTCAGCTGTGAAAGCTGAAATGCAGTCTTCCTGGTTCTGTACCCAGGAAGACAGAAATGACTTTTATGCTACCTGTGGTCTGCTCACGTCATCGACTTCATCTGCATTGGCTGTGTCCAAGGGCTCCACCTGATATATTTTAGCTTGTTTAAAAAAATTAGAGTTAAGTTTTGAAAGTTTCAAGGGTGTCAGTCCACTTATAGGGCTATGGAAAGAAACAAGAGGAAGAGCCTGATGTTTTCAAGATTACAAACCAGGAATAGAAACAGAAATCTCAATACTAAGCTCCCTGTTTGCATCACTAAACAATCACTGTCCTTGTTCAAAATGTGGAAATTCCTCTTTTGAACCTTTACACAAACAAAAAATCATTTTGTGTATTCTGTACCCTAATATAGAGCCAGTGGCGCTCTGTATGACTTGGCTACTTTAATTATAAGAGGACAGCTCATTCCCTGTAGGCAGACTCCCTCACAAAATATTCAGAGAGAAGCTAAGTGCACCTTTTCTGTTTTTCTGCTTAAGTTCATCTAAATCATATGCTACAGCTGTCCCCAGTGTCCCATTACACAGTAGTCTCCTATAGGAACCTGTGCTAGCAAGATGCATCTGGAGAGAGGGAACTGAGATGCAAGTGTATGTTTGTCACTCAAAGCATAGAAGTGTACACATAGTTTTTACTAACGAGCAAGGAGTAATAAATTATAGATTTCTGTAGTATTTTGTACACTTAAAAAGATTCCCCCTGGCATATATATCAGGAGATGTCAACTTGAACTGGGGCCATCTATAGTAAAATATATAATTATGGTAGAAATGCCCTGGGCAGATACATAAACTTCACCTCTCTTCTGAGATACGATACGAACAACATAAGTTCCATTTTCTTGGCTGTTTTTAAAATTCTGAAGTCTGTCACCGCACTCAACATAGTGCAGACTGAAGCACAACAAACCCTTAGAGCTTGGCCTGGTTTTGCACAAGAAAGGAGATACGGCGTAAGCAGCAATGCAAGACCTCATCAATACACACACTCGTGCTTTTGATCCCTCCTCCACATCTGTTATCGCTATGTACTTCTAGCTTCTTTTAAATCTTACAAACATAAAGCTTCAGATTTTACATTACAAGGGTGTGGGGGAACGGCCTCCACACCAGTCTTATCTCAATGTGGTCTCCTCCCTGCCTCCACAGTACTAGACATAGCTGGGGGTGCTTGAAACTAAGGGCACAGTGAATTCCTTTACTGGCTCCTGTCTAGAGCTCTCAGCAGACAGCAAGGGCAAGCTTAAATGACTTTTCCAATTAACCAGATGCAGAAGAAGGAGACATGACAACAAAATACATATATAATACATATATATATACACACCAAAATATATGGGGAAAAGGTGAAGCAATGCTAGGAAAGGCAAGCAGTAATAGCTTTGAGATTTTGAACCTGGTAACGACAAGCTCCATATGTGAAAATCTGGCCCTATCAGGACCAGTGGGACCTCCCTCCAATTCCCCACTCCACCCCCAGTGAAAAAAGGCAGGAGGATTTGCTCTCATTTGTTTTAAGCTTTCTGATAGCACTCCGGGCACTTAGGAAAATAGCAGTGTAAAAATAAATGAGTCAGAAAAATGGATGTGGGAATGACAAATGCATAAGCTATTTTTCTTCAGTGATGCTTGCTTTCCACATTTCTTAAATTCTGTGGAGAAGTTATTCACAGCTAGTGTTCCCAAGGCAGGTACAGTTATGCTAGCTTGTTTTATGAACTCAAATGTTATGTGCTTAAATGGAAAATGCTGTATTGTTTGGCTTAATGACTTTTCCTAAACTAGACAGACAGGAAAAGGGGGTGTTCCAGCTGTGTGGTTTGTATTTCACATACATACCATTTCGCCTTGTGTTTCTCTTCTTTTTTTTTTGACTTAATTTTGCAATGCAGTAGACATTTCACCTTGTGTTTCTTTTCTCTTTTTTTGACTTAATTTTGCAATGCAGTAGAAAAATTAGACGGTGAAGAACATTATAAGTTTACTTTAGTAAGCTGCACTTCTCTTTTTTTTTTTCCTTTTAGATAATACGTGAAAAATATTAGAAGAATGCAATGTTGTGAATGTTTTTGCTCAGAATTACAGGGTAGATCTGCCCTGCAGATCCCAGCATTAACAACAAAATCACATATAAATAAGTAAATTTTTATTCATAAAATGTCCTTGAAGGAAATAATAAAAGAGGACTTGAATTATTTAAGCTTACTAAGTGCCTTACTGGTATATGTGCTTTTTTTTTTTCTGTCAAGGCAGAAAGGCAAAAGCATAAAGGAAGCAAATAATTAATAGAGAATTGGAGGAAAAATTATTTGCCTCTGTAGTATGGAAAAAAGCCCTACAATGTTACTCCTGCCCTTCAACTGACTTTAAATTACCAGTTTCAAAAAAAGAAAGCCAAGTATGAATCAACTGATTAATTTGCAAAATACATTATCGCTCACTGTAAATTGAACCACTGAATAATTTAAACTGCTTTTTGGTTTCTTCTCAGCTGGGCCATGACATCAATATCAGCAAATCCTCAACTTTTTGCTTTTTTCCACCCAGACAAATATCTAGGCTTCCCCACCACCATGACATCAATATCAACATTTTGCTTTTTTCCACCCAGACAAATATCTAGGCTTCCCCACCGTTACACCATTCTGCCATTGCAAGGGAAAGGGTACTAACAGTCATCGTATGGGAACAAAACTCAGGCAACCAACTTTGTTCACCAACAAAGTGCATCAGGACAGCCACGTATTTCTGTGTCACGATCCAAAAAAAGCTCTATGGGTTGAGGCGGGAGCCCCGTGAGCTGGCCAGTCAGCATCACTGAGCACAAAGACACAGACTGTCATCTGCTCCTAAAGAGATGACGAGATAAACCACAAGAAAGATCCCAAAGCAGGAAATCCACTCTGGAATTTTGCTGGAAATAGTAATTTGCTAGAAATTATTCTTTAAAGAAGAATTTTGAAGTTTTCAAAGGGAAATAAGAACAAGGATTTCCTACAGGTCTTTTTAAGCACCCACCCATTAGGGAGGCATTTGCCTATTTGGATTCATTTGTTCCAAAGACTATGCATGATGAGCAGTGCATTTAGTGTTCCTGTGTGGGGAAGAAGATTGATTCTGGGTACTCCTGTATTTAAAACAATGCAAATTTTCTGCTGCCATGCTTTTGCATTCATTTACATAGCTCTGTCTTTTCAAGAACAGACAGTGTATACCTGTCATGGTGCACAGGCACCAAATCAAGAGTCTTTCCATACACACACACTACTGACTTGAGCTTCTTTGGGCCACTGAGTCCATAGCCAGGCTACTCAAAAACAGAGGCCACTGTCTTCCAAACTACGACTGAGCTCAAAGAGTAAACTTAAAAGTCTTAATTGTAGAATCATTGAATCACAGAACGGTTTGAGCTGGAAGGGACCTTAAAGATCATCTAGTTCCAACCTGCCTGCCATGGGCAGGGACACCTCCCACTAGATCAGGTTCCACTTTCTATCCTTTCCCCTCTTTCTATCACTACACTCCCTGATAAAGAATGCCTCCTCATCTTTCCTGAATGTCCCCTTTAATGCCAAGTGCAAGAACAGTGCACTTCATAACACACTGAAGCAGCTGCTTCTTTTATTCTGCAACACACGACTAAAATAGCTCATGACTGTCTTAGACTGTAGACAGCCGAAGATGCCAACAGCATTTGCTATAGCATCTTAATGAAGGATTCTTATATGGAAGTGAGAAATACAGAGATGTTTTTGTTTTATCAGTGCAGCTCAAAAGATTTTGCCCTGATGTGATGCATCTAGCATGCATACACAAAAATCATTATGAACAAAACGCCTTCACAAGAGGCTGCTAAATTCTTGCCACATTTGTCAGATCTGCTGGTCTCGATTTCAAGAATCCAGCTACACCCTTACCGTGTTTACGAAACTGAGCAGTCACATAACCCCTGCTATGTAACAGAGGTAGAAATATAGAAGACAACAATCCACGGAAGAAAAATTAGTTCTCGTGAAACTTCAGCTTTCTACCCTGCTCTAAATCAGTTGTTTCTAACCCAAGCCCTCAGCACAGCACGTAACCTGGGATTATCTCTTTGTATAACCACCAAAATTCCTAAATCCTCATTGTCTTAAAGATCATGCAGTTTGGTGTCAAACTGACTGCCCCTCAAGGCAACTGGTCCAACTGATGTCTCTGTCTTCTGCCCACAGGAGGCTTTGGGTGAAGGGATCAGAGGGCATGCAG